TTAGACATACAGAAAAAAACGATTCAAAACAAAATCCCTAAGATCAGTTTACTGGGTAGTGTGCTATTCTAATTTAGTCTGTTGTGTGAATGCAGTCGTTTTCATTCAGCTCATCCTGTGATAGCAGCTTAAAAAGTTTGAGATTACAACTCTATGTATGATTGATTTATAGTTTTGATGATTAGGCTCTAATCATCAAAGAAATGTATGTTCATACAACATGCAAATCCATGCTGCTAACCATAGTTTTCTGAATAATACAACCATATTTTGGCTTATCATGATTAGACTTAGCACATTTACTTCCTCTCAGAATGTGGATGATGTCCCAAATGATGCTAAATAATAACTTATTTAACCATAGTGCATACACTTCTATTTAATAAAGCCCAATGGCTGGTTCTACATAATATGTAGTACAAACCAATTATTGTGTAGTACAGTGTCTGGATCAGACAAAATTGGTTTAACATGCTCAATATCTTTTCATCTAATTAGCTCTGTGAGATTGTTAAATTTATAAAAGAAATTTGGTGGAATACAAATTTGTACATATTTATTCAGGAGGAAAACATTTTATATGGCGTTCAGAGATCAGGAAACGGGACTCTATAAGATTGCAGGAGTATGATTCTTTAACTGCCTGATCACAGGACAGCTGTTGCCTTTTTAGATGTTTGGTTCAAGTGGTGTACAGAGAAGGAAAACATCCTTGAAGACCTTGGATTTCATAGCAGATGTTTCAGACTTTGTAGCTGCCAGTTGTGTCAATCAATAATATGCACCTTTTGCCTCCTGTTTAGGAATGTTGCTTGTTGGATTTCTTCTAAGAAACATTCCATTTATCACTGACATAGTCCTGATCAATGTGAAATGGGGAGCCACCCTAAGAAGTATTGCTCTTGCAATCATCTTGGCCCGGGCTGGCCTTGGCCTTGATCCAAAGGTGAGGTATCAAATGGTCCTTGCTTAATAAATGCATAGCCAGGTGATAAAGTTGTGACTAAACTCTGATTCATATATTGAACTAGGTCACCATTTGGTTAACCCTTCTTTATTGGGAAACAGACGTGGCTCGAGCTGCAAAATAGATTAAGGCACAGAACATTCCTAAATTGCATTTTTCAAAATCTCTGTAGTCTTCTCATAACATAATCACCCACTGGCTTGGTTCCCAATGAAAACAATGGTGCCAGCTCTAAAATTGGCTTAAAATTGTTTTAAGAAACAGAACACACCCTCTTTCCTTAGAAAGCCCCACCCAAGATTGAAAGTCCTAGGTTCTCTTATGTATATTTGATACGGCTCCATCCTCTTTGCCTTGTTTCCTCACCCAATGCAACTCCCAATTCTCCCAAAAATTCATGCACGTTTTGGCTACCAAATCCACCCATTCAGATAACCGTAAATCATAATTTACAACTTTACCAATTGGGTTTATATGGCATACATGGTGATTTAACTAATGAGATATTCATATAACATGTGACCCAAGTCCTCATCTCAGATTAATTTGGAACTACTTTTCCTCTGGTGCAATGACCAAATGGTCTTTCCAATCAAACTTTCTTTGTGACATCTGGCTTTTTAAAAAAATGTGGAAGAAACATTTTGTGGAGATGTACATTTAACTGCAAGGAGAACCTAAACGTCTCACTGTTCCCCATCTAGTGTTTTCCTGAGATGTTGAGTATAATTTCCAGGATTCCCAGCCAATGTATGTAATCCCAGGACATGTGTAAGAACACTGTTTCAAACCTGATCCAGTTTATCATTGGGTTGAGAGCTATAAAGCCCCCCCGTAGAGCAGGAATATTGTCCTTAAGTGCAAGAAATGAACTGTTTCTCTTATAAAAGATTTATGTGGGAATTTTGACTTAGAATGTGAGGTCTTGGAAAAACTTTGTAAAGAAAACAAAATTAGGTTTCCTTTCAGTTGATCTTGACACCTGACACATCCAGGTGGTTTTCTTTGCAACAGATTGCTATTATCCTCTTCTGGTAGAATATGCTTGTGGTATTTGTTTGGGTTTTTTTAAACTTCATTTTGTTTTGTTCTGGGATTTGTCGACATTACTTACTTTCTGAGGTGAGCCAGAAATATCAATGTGAAACTTAGTTTGGTCATCTATAGTGATCTTCAGAGTTATGATCAGTTTTGCCTTTTTTTAATTTTTTTAATTTTTTTAATTTTTTAATTTGATTTATATGCCGCCTTCTCCAGAGACTCAGGGCGGCTTACAATGTGCTCAGCAATAGCCTTCATCCTTTTTGTATATTTATACAAAGTCAGCTTATTGTCCCCACAACTGGGTCCTCAATTTACCTACCTTAGAAAGGATGGAAGGCTGAGTCAACCTTGAGCCTTAGCAAGATTCGAACCTGCAGTAATTGCAGGCAGCTGGTCTTAATAACCAGCTTAATAACAGGGTGCCTTAGACCACTGTACTATCAAGGCTCTTTAACTGAATTTAGTCTGCTTCTGATCCCTATTCACATAGAAGTTTTTAATTTCATTCAGAGGTAACACAAACTATGATTTACAGTAATGAGACATAACTAGTTTGATGATTAGATATTCCTACCCTACCCTTTCTTCTTTTCTTGGATGATTGTGAAAAATCAGAAACTTCTGCTTTTCACTGAGATTAGCTGTCATTATCTGAACCCTGAACTATGGCAACCTCTACTATATTTAGCGCCTAACACTATATACACTATATTTAGCTCATAGCCCAGTTTCATAAATTTATAAATTAAAATTGACTTCTGTCAGTCAGTGATAAGACTAATCTATTTTAGAACTTTAGCAATGTAATGGATCTAAAGCTCAAGCATATTCTTTGAAACTCCATCTGTTAGTCATGCAAACTGGTAGGAGCATACCTAAGCCTTTCAGTATTGTCATGATACTAAGGCTGTGTCACTTGTTTGATAAAACAAGTAGTATACTATCTGAATCTGGACCATGGATCCAACTGTAGAAGCCTTAACCATAATCAGTAACCAAATTTACAATTAATGCATCTTAATCTAGGTTCCTCATGTCATCTAAGCCAATTAATCTGTACTGAACTTTTCTTTTCTGGCTTCTGGCCAAAAAGATTGGAACTAAAATAGATGTAAAACGTTGGGCTCCTTTTTCCTGATTTTTTTTTTTACTTTGTTATATAAAATTGAGACCATATGCCAGATTAGATTTAATGCATTATGCAAATATATTAAACCTGTGGTATGTTAAATATTGCCATATTATAGTTCTTAGCATCTGCAATGGTGAAGGAAGCTGAAAACTGTAGTTCAGCTATATCTAGAGTGCTACAGTTTACCTGTTCCTGCTTTTTGCACTAGCAAAACCATTGTAAACTCATCACATAAAGAGAAAATCCTCAATTCTACCACCTATTCTAAAGCAGCATGCTCACTAGGTAGGGCTTTCATACACAGGTGGTAAAAAGCCAGTTGGGATCTCTGTGTTTATTTGCTGCCATCTGGTAGATACCCAGATTTTTTTTTTATGGCATCCCCATCACTGTGCAGAGCACAAAGCAAGCTGGGTGACCTTGGGACAGTCGCTTCATCTTACCCCCCAAGAAGGAGGCAATGGCAAACCACTTCTGAAATCTTGCCAAGAAAACTTCAGGGATTTATCCATGGAATCTCCAGGGGTCAAGAGTGACTCCAAGGCATAAAATAATAATAAAATAAAATGTAACATTTTGATCCCAATACCTTAACACAGCTTGGCCAAGAGGGAACATAGATGCTAATCCCAAGATTTCTGATCTTGAGATCCTTAGTTCCATGCACCCTTTTTCTATCTGCATTACTTCTTACTGAGTAATTCAATTTATATGCCCTCCATTAGATACGTGCCTCAGTGCAGTGTACATGATTAAAAGCAACGAATAGCCAACAAACATACACAGCAGAAAAGAAATTACTAAAATGTAGTTCTTAGGAGGCTATTCAGATAACCAGAACAATTAAAAACTGTCTTATAAAACCTCCTGAAGCAAATCCTGGGCCATAGCCAAATAGAGCAAATCTCATAGGGTTTTCTTCCATGGTCTTCAGAACATTTAAAAAGCAATTCCACTGACTTGCAAATGCATTTTTCTTACAGGCACTGAAAAAACTAAAGGCTGTCTGCTTTAGATTAAGCTTGGGACCCTGCCTAATAGAAGCATGTACAGCGGCAGTCGTATCTCATTTTCTCATGCACCTGCCATGGCAGTGGGGATTTATGCTTGGGTAAGTCCCTCTTCCAACTCAAAAATAGCATCTTTCCTTTCCTTTCCTCTCCTTTCCTCTTTCCTTTCCTTTCCTTTCCTTTCCTCTCCTCTCCTCTCCTTTCCTCTCCTCTCCTCTCCTCTCCTTTCCTCTCCCCTTTCCTTTCCTCTCCTCTTCTCTCCTTTCCTCTCCTCTCCTCTCCTTTCCTCTCCTCTTTCCTTTCCTCTCCTCTCCTCTCCTCTCCCCTTTCCTCCCCTTTCCTCCCCTTTCCTCTCCTCTTCTCTCCTTTCCTCTCCTCTCCTTTCCTCTCCTCTCTTTCCTTTCCCCTCCTCTCCTTTCCTCTCCTCTCCTTTCCTCTCCTCTCCTCTCCTCTCCTCTCCTTTCCTCTCCTCTCCTCTCCCCTTTCCTTTCCTCTCCTCTTCTCTCCTTTCCTCTCCTCTCCTTTCCTCTCCTCTTTCCTTTCCTCTCCTCTCCTCTCCTCTCCCCTTTCCTCCCCTTTCCTCTCCTCTCTTCTCTCCCCTCTCCTCTCCTCTCCTTTCCTTTCCTTTCCCTTCCCTTCCCTTCCCTTGGCCAAAACTGTCTTTCCTCTTCCATGAAGTAATGAGTACAGTGTGGGTGTCACATCTGATTTAGTCTGATTATGCTGTAAAACGTATGTTCTTGTCATACCACAGAGGATTAGGTTAGGATTTGAAGCCCTGATCCATAAATACATCTGGAATTTACAAAGTTGCATATTTAGTGAGAAAACCTAGGTTAAATAATCGTTAATTCAAAGGAAAAATTTAATCCTGTTCTGAAGTCTTTAAAAACATTTTGCTAAGATGTATCTTTAACAACAATTTCTTAATGAACCATGACTGGATGGTTCACGTAACATGCAGGACCACAAACTAGTGTACTGTAACGGTGAAGCGCTTAGATTAGAATCGGCAAAATTCAGCTTCTAGTTCATTCTCAGCCCCAAAAGCACTCTGGGTGATCTTGGGATAGTCATCTCCCTTTCAACTCAATTTATCTCACAGTTATTTTTCTGGGGGGAAATAGAAGAAGGATGGTTATATATAGCAGTTTAAGCTTCTGAATCAAAGGTAGATTACAAATTATCAACAACTACTTTGGTTTACAAAATCCAATAGTTGGTCTCATACATTAAACCAGAATAAACAATTATGATCTACAGTACTATATTCACTAAGTCTGCATTACTATAACTATTAATCTTATTTATTTATTTATTGGTTCGATTTATATGCCGCCCTTCTCCGGAGACTCAGGGCGGCTTACAATGCGTTAAGCAATAGCCTTCATACTTTTGTATATACCTGCTTAGTAGGGCTTTCAGCCCCCCCTAAGCGGTGTTCTTTTTTATACAAAGTCAGCTTATTGCCCCCACAATCCGGGTCCTCATTTTACCTACCTCGAAAGGATGGAAGGCTGAGTCAACCTTGAGCCTGGTGAGATTTGAACTTGCAGTAATTGCAGGCAGCTGGTGCTACTTAACAGCACTTTAGTCTGCTGCGCCACCAAGGCTCTCCAAGGGTGATAGGAACGATCTTCTCATCGTTCCTATCACCCATCTCCTCCCACTTATGGCTGCATGACTTATATCCTTATGATTTATATTGATTGTTTCCTAGTATGATTTGATTGCTTATTTGTACCGTATGACTATCTTTACGTGTTGTATCTTATGATTCTTGATGAATGTATCTTGTCTTTTTATGTACACTGAGAGCATATGTACCAAAGACTTCTGTGTCCAATCACATTTGGCCAATAAAGAATTCTATTCTATTCTATTCTGTCAATCCAATGTGCTTCAAGGAATCAACCTATATTAACATAAAACAGTTCTTATTAACACCTTCCATCTTGACTATTGCAATGGTCTACATGGGGCTGCCCTTGAAAAGTATCTGGAAGTTTCATTTAGTTCAAAATGCAGCAGACCACGTGGTTTTGTGCAGGCCTACACTTGCAGATGTGTCACGTCTCTTGTGGGAGCTGCATTGGCTGCTGATTTGGTTCCAGATACAAGTCAACATGCTGGTTGTCACCTTCAAAGACCTACACGGCTTGGGATCAGGTTATTTTGCCAATCAGATCAACCCAACCCATCAGAGCAGGTAGGCAGGGAATACTTCCTAAGGAGGTCCATCTAATGCGAGCAAGAAGGGCTTTCTCTGTGGTGGCTCCCTCCCTATGGAACATTCTTGTAGAGATAAGATTGCCCCACCACCATCTTGACATTCTTTCACAAGAACAAACGGTTCTGTCAACAGGCCTGGGGACCCAGAATGGCATGGAGCCCATCAAATGGTTTAATTGTTGTCAGGAGGGTAGGGGTTATTGCTGTTTGCATTGTTTATGTATTGGGATTTTATCCTTGTAAGCCTCCTGGAGTCACTGAGGATAAGTTGGGCAACCATATAAATTTTCATAATTATTACAATATCCAAAATAAAATTAATACTTTTATACTGTGTTTTTCAATTCACAACATAGTTCTTCCGTTTTCCCTTTCTCTTGTAAATTGCAAATCCTACTCTCACTGTGAAAAGTGGAAGAAATAACTACAAATTGATGTAACTAAAAGTTGATGTGTGTGTATGTGTTCAGATTTGTCTTAGGTGCTGTGTCTCCTGCAGTTGTAGTCCCCTCAATGTTGGTTTTACAAGCAGGAGGATATGGTGTTGATAAAGGTGTCCCAACTTTACTAATGGCTGCAGGAAGTTTTGATGACATTCTGGCTATCACAGGTTTCAACACCTGCTTAGGGATAGCATTCTCTTCAGGTACCTGTCTATTCTATTGATAAGCTGCATCCAAGCCCCTGTCTTCTTTGTCATAATGCTAGTTTGTCCTATACAAATAATATCCTTTGTATAAAAAAAAACTTTCATGCTGATTTTATGCCAAAATCTTTATTTGTGACACAATAGAATTCATAAAATTGGAAAACTGGTCAGGATGAACCTGAGACCTTAGTTCAGGTATTTCTTTACTATCTGTTCTATATATACTTATGTGACATATACTTCACCACCTAGTAGAGCTCAAGCTTTCAATGAAGAAGAAATGGTTTGTATTACAAATTGTGTTACCAGGTTCTTATTGACAGCTATTGCCATTAAAAGGCATAATGCAGTGATTGTGAACATATTATAAGCATGTGACAGGTGACACCCCATGCCATTTTGGTAACACCGGAGGCCTCTGAACTGCCTAGAACAGAGTTCCTCAACCTTTCCGGCTTTGTGGACCAGCGTAGGGGGGAGACGGGATGGTTCCATGCAAGCAGTGGATAAGTGCGCACATGCACACAGTTCCACTTGTGCGAGTGACGTGCATGCATGCCCGCCGTTCGTGCAATTGAAGAGAATGTGCAGGTGCTCGCTCACTGCTCACATAAGGTTAAAAATGCTCATTATCACTGCTCACATAAGATGGTTATAAATGCTAGCTGCGGGGACTATCCAACAATCCATTTGAATCCTCTTTTTCTGCTTTGCCAAAACAGGCTCCACCCTTCAAAATGTCTTTCGAGGTCTATTAGAAGTTGCAGTGGGTATAGCAGCAGGTGGACTTTTAGGCATTTTTATTCGTTACTTTCCAAGCAAGGATCAGGTAAGAAGAGAAAACCTTTTGAAATGTAGCACTCTTCTGTTGAAGCATGAGAAGAACCAACACATTTAAAACGAACTCCCTGTCACACTTTAGCTGGAATAATAGGTATAACAACAACGTATCTGGCAAAGTTGCAAATGCTTTGATCAGAAGAGTGCTTTGGACCTTGTGCAAATATCAGCACAACATCACTACACTATTCATCGAAGTTGTTAATGTAAATCACAATAAGAGTTAACACTTTACAACTAGATTTATCTTATCTAGATAACTAGATAACACTTATCTAGATCCGTTCCAGTCGGGCTTCAGGCCTGGATTCAGCACCGAAACGGCATTGGTCGCATTGGTAGATGATCTCTGGAGGGCCCGGGACAGGGGTTGCTCCTCTATCCTGGTCCTATTAGACCTCTCAGCAGCTTTTGATACCATCGACCATGGTATCATGCTGCACCGGTTGGAGGAGTTAGGGGTGGGAGGCACCGTGTTGCGGTGGTTCTCCTCCTTTCTATCTGATCGGTCGCAGTCTGTGTTGACGGGGGCAGAGGTCGACCCCGAGGCCCCTTATATGTGGGGTGCCACAGGGGTCGGTTCTCTCACCCCTTCTGTTCAACATTTATGTGAAGCCGCTGGGTGAGATCATCCGTGGTTTTGGGGTGAAGTATCATCAGTATGCTGATGATACTCAGCTATACATCTCCACCCCGGACCACCCCAATGATGCCCTTAAAGTGATGTCCCAGTGCCTGGAGGCTGTACGGATCTGGATGGGGAGGAACAGACTCAGGCTCAACCCATCCAAGACCGAGTGGCTGTGGTTTCCGACGTCCCGATATAGTCAATTGGTGCCATCACTGACTATTGGGGATGAGTCATTGCCCCCCACGGAGAGGGTTCGCAACTTAGGCGTCCTCTTGGACTCACGGCTGTCTTTAGAAGAACACTTGACAGCTGTGGCCGGGAGGTCTTTTTATCAGGTTCGCCTGATTCGCCAGTTGCGTCCCTTTCTGGATCGGGACTCGTTAAAAACGGTCACTCATGCCCTCGTCACTTCACGCCTGGACTACTGTAATGCTCTCTACATGGGGCTCCCCTTGAAGAGCACCCGGAGGCTCCAGCTGGTCCAGAATGCGGCCGCGCGGGTAGTTATGGGAGCAGCATGGCGCTCCCATGTGGCTCCCCTCCTGCGCGAGCTGCACTGGCTCCCTGTGGTCTTCCGGGTGCGCTTCAAGGTCTTAGTTACCACCTTTAGAGCGCTCCATGGCTTAGGACCGGGGTACTTACGAGACCGCCTTCTGCCACCAATAGCCTCTCACCGCCCAGTACGCTCCCATAGAGAGGGGCTTCTCAGGGTGCCGTCAGCCAAACAATGTCGACTGGCGGCCCCCAGGGGGAGAGCCTTTTCTGTGGGGGCACCCACCATCTGGAACGAGCTCCCCCCAGAGATACAGAAGATTCCGGATCTGCGCACTTTTCGCCGTGCACTCAAAACATTCCTGTTTCAGCAGGCCGGCCTGGCCTAACTTTCCCTTTATATTGCTTTTTGATTTTATTTTAAACTGGGATGTCTTGAATTATCTAGGACCAGAATGTTTAGTATATTTTAATTGGTTTTTTATTATTAACATTTGTATTACATGTATTTTTATCGTTCGCTGTTCACCGCCCTGAGTCCCTTAGGAATAGGGCGGTATATAAATTTAATAAATAAATAAATAAATAAATAAATAAATAAAACAGTGGTACCTTTTTTCAGATTCAGACACCTGAAAAAAATTGGGCTCCTTTAATGAATAGAAGAGAGGTGTTATATAAGTAGGTCCTCAACTTGCAACCATTTGTTTAGTGATTGTTCAAAGTTACAGTGGCTCTGAAAAAAGTGCCTTATGATCAGTTTTCAAACTTATGACTGTTGCAGCATCCCCATGGTCACAATCAAACATTGGATCTTGGCAACTGGCATGTATTTACGATGGTTGCAGCATGCCAGGATTCTGGGATTGTCATTTGCCTTTTGTAGGGAGCTTCTGACAAGCCAAGTCAATGAGGGAAGCCGGATTCGCTTAAAAACTGCATGATTCATTTAACAAATGTAGTGATTCACTTAACAACCATAGCAAAAATGTCATAAAATGAGGCATGACTCATTAACAACTGTCTTGCTTTTGGGGCAGTTTTAGACTCAATTATGGTTGTAAATTGAGGGCTACCTCTATCTGTATGAGTTTCAAATTAGTTTTTCCAATTTATTTTTCAAGCAAGTACAACTTAGATTTCTAGTATATTAATTTTAAAGAAAAAGTAAAGATTTCATGAACTGAATTGAGGACCTATACAATTTCTTTGCAGTATTCTGAAAGTAATTTGCTATTGTTTTAATTCAGTGATTTTTCCCCCAACCAC